AAAACTGGAGAAATTTCGGTTAAATTTCGAATCGATTTGTTTTTGTTTTTGTTCGATCGTCATAATCCGATCGATTATCGAAATCAATATGGCGTCTCGACTTTGTTTGTTTACTTTTTTTCGAAGATTATTAAAGGGTTAAGCGTTCGCTTGTCTTCTGCCACGTTTATCGGTTCTTTTTTTTTTTTTTTTTTTTTATTTCGTTTTGGTGCGGCCCGTTTCATAATTTCGCTCAAATAATTAACTCGGATCGGGTTTGACTTTTACTTTGTTTTTTTTTTTCTTTTTTTTATGCTCTGAAAAATTTTTTATTGCTTTTTTTTTTGTTTCGGTGCGGGAGAAAGAAGAGAGAGAGAGAGAGAGAGAGAGTAAGGGAGAGAGAGAGAGAAAAGACGTTAGCCAATTTTTTTTTATATTTTTGATTGTGGTTGTACGGGTGGTGGTTCGCACACATTCACGCGCAACTTTTACTTTCTTTTAACAATCCTTTGCGGTTGTTATTATTATTATTATTATTATTATCATTATTATTATTATTATTTTTTGTTCTTACTCACTTTTTCGATAGATAGGCGATGGCGTTACAAACTTTGTAACGATAATTAAGAGGTAATTAATAAAAAAAAAGAAAAAATTTAAACTTTCGCGTTTTTATTATTATTATTATTATTATTATTATTGATAAAAAGAAGTTGTTGGTGAAGGAGGTTCGAGAGTAAGGGAGAGAGAGAGAAAGAGAGATTTTGTTGGTGGTAAGAATCGAAAGAGGTTTTTCTCTTCCCCGTTTTTGTTTTTAAAATTTGAAAATGAATGATTATAACAAAAAATGTAAATAAAATCCTTTTTTTTTTCTTCTCCCGAGGGGGTGGGGGAAGAAAAGGGATTTTGTTCGTTTATCGATTTATTGATTTTTTAAAACTTTTCCCGGCGCTCCTCCCCCCCTCCGCGAAATTAAAACCGTAAAAGTTTTCCCTTGGGGAAGTACGAAAATGGCGAACAGTTTTTCTTAAAAACTTTACGTTTGGTTTATGAGATTATCGGACGTTAACCCGACTTGATAAAAAATTCGAACGGATTTCTTCGTACGTTCGTTCGTTCGTTTCATCATAATCAATTTTCGCGTGCGTTTTTTTTTTTACAACACGCACGAACGCACGCGCGCTTACATCTTTTGCAAAAATTTATTTTTATTTTTTTTCTTTACCCAATCGAATTTATTTATTATTATTATTATTATTATTATTATTATTATTATTATTATTATTAAAGTTTAAACATAATCAAATCAATTTTACGCGTGGTTGTTGAGTCGGTTTGTAATAAATGTTAATTGGGCGTTGAGGAAACTCGCACGTTCGAAAAATTTTTTTTTCGAAATTTTTTTTTTTTTTTCTTTTTTTTTCGATCGGATAATTTTATCTAAGATGGTAATTTCGATTATTTTCAACATCGTTTTTTTTTTTTTTTTTTTTTTTTTAATTACGTTTTATTATTATTATTATTGTTGGCGTTGTTGTTTTCATTTTACGGTTTGCGCAAGTATAAATAAAAGAAAACGGGGGTGGAAGGGAAGGGGGAGGAATCCTTGCAATAATATTTATTAATCACGTATTTTACGGTTTTTTTTCATCGAAGCATCAATATTACCATTATTATCATTATTATCATTATTAATAGATTGCATCTACTATCAATTGTGAAATTTTTTTTATTTCCACACATTAATTAATTACTATTATCATTATCATTATCACTACTACTACCACTTATTATTATTATTATTATTATCGCGGTGGTTTATTAACGGTGTCAAGTGTTGGAATGTTTTTATTTTTCTTCTTTTCTCTCTCTTTCTCTCTTTCTCTCTCTGTCTTTATTATACTACAGGAGGAAGTTGCGGGGGGTTTAGTTACAGCGGCCCGAGCGTTCCGCACCGTCATTTCCTATATCCGGTTCAATGACTTTTTTTTGATGATTTTCTCCCGAAGGAACAACAACTCTCGCGATATATCGAAAAGTATCGAAAAATCATTTTCGAGTTTCGAATTCGACATATAATTTTATTTCATGTTCGAAATTTTTGATCGATTCGTTTGACGTCACAAAAAAAAAAAGATCGATTATCATCATCATCATCGTCATCGTCGTGATTACTAATCGTGGTTGTGGTTGTTGTTGTTGTCGTAGTTTTAACTTTCATTATTATCTAACCTAAATTAAATTGTTAATAAATTATTTAAATGAACGTTCATTAGAATAATAATGATAATAATTATTGTTATTATTATTATTATTATTATTATTATTATTATTATTATTATTATTAATTTATGAAATTAACTTCCGCTGGTTGTCGAATGAGTTTGCGCATTTTGTCGAATGATATCACGCGGGCGTAAAAAAAAAAAAAAAACTAACAACCAACATGAAAATTTCCTCGTTTGTTTTTTTTCCGAGACAAACAACAACCGATTCGTTTGTTCAACGGAAAATCCGGATGAAAAGGTTAAGGAGTAGTAATAATAATGATAATAGTAACTTTCGCATTCGTTTTTAAATACGTGATATTAATTTATAATGAGATGGAGATGGAGAAGTCATTTTTTGTTTTTCCAGTCGTATTAAGGGGGGAGGTTAAGTATTTACATATACATGTAAATTCGTTTGTTTGTTTGTTTGTTTGTTTTTACGGTTGTTCAATTTTTTTAAATTTCGCAATTGATTTTTTTTTTTTTTTTCGTTTTCTTTTTTACAATTTCCCTCTTTATTCGAATTTAAAATTTTAATTTGATAATTTCGAAAAGAAAAAGAAAATTGAAATGTTGTGTGTGTGTGTCGTAAGAATAAATTACGAGGATTTGTTTGTTTGTTTGTTTGTTCGTTGTTTAGGTTTTGTGTTCAACAAACGATGATGACGGAAAGTAAGTCATCGATTTATTTATTTATTTATTTATTACGGTTTACGTAATTTTATATTTTTTTATTTTTTTTTTTTACTGTCGGCCGTCCAAATTTTTATTTATTTATTTAAATTTCCTATTTTTCGAGTTATTACGTCATCGAGAAATCGAATCGATTCGGTTCCAAAAACTCAAAAAATTCCAGTTTATACGGAACAACTTTATTACGTATTAACGAGTTTAGGGTAAAAACTTATTTGCGATCCGTTGCTGTTGCAGTTGCTGCTGCCACGATCGGAATAGAAATCAAAAGTTTAATCTCGGTTTCGCGGGCGAGTAAACAAAAAAAAAAAAAAAAAAAAAAAACGATGTAAATAACGGACGTTGACCGAATTCCAGCACGATAATAATTTCCAGTAATTCATCGGAATTTGTTTTTATTTTTATTTTTTTAATTTTACGCTATAAAGTTGGAAATGTGAAAGAGAGAGAGAGAGAGGGGGGGGGGGGGAAAGTCGTTTAATTGCTTTACCGTTTGTCGCAAACGATCGTACGTCCCAGTCAAGGATATTCGATCATCATCATCATCATCATCGTACAGATAAAAAATGAATTTTTATTTTCTCGAAGAAAAAAATTTTTAAATCGTCGACGTCACTATGGTTAGTCCTCTCTTTTTCCCCCCTCATCCTCCTCCTCCTCTTCCTCCTCTCCCCTTTTTTTCTCTCTCTCCCGTTTTTAAATCGAGATTCGGGTTACGCGCTCAAGGTTTTTTTTTTTGATCCTTTTACGGAAAATGGAACGTGACTATAAAAAATTTGTGACTTTATCGAAATTATTATTATTATTATTATTATTATTTATGCCATATCGAGAACGTAAATATAATATGTTTCTCTCTCTCTCTCTCTCTCTCTTAAAAAAATTTGAATTAAAATTTTTTTTATCTATTGAGAGAGAGAGAGAGATAGAGACTGGAAAAGTCGTTAAATAAGATTTTGATTTTGCGCCAACCGGTTTTTAAAAAACGGTCGATTTATTTGTTGTGCGACTTAATAATAATAATAATAATAATAATAATAATAATAATATAAGGTTTAATTTCGAACAGGAAGGAACCGAAAAATAATAATAATGATAATAATAATGATGATGATGATGATAATAATAATAAAAGATTTAACTGGAATGGGTGTGTAGTTTATTGACGTATCGTCGATTTTGATTTTCAATTCAATTCAGAAAGCGAGGGGGCGGAAGGCGGTAATAAGGGTAGCACCGGAAGAACTTTTTCTTTCCTTTTTTTAAAGCTTTTCCGGTTTAGAAATAATAATAATAATAATGATAATTAACGCGAGGTTGTGTTGAACTTATTAAATGAAAATTATAACTGACGCGTTTAGCAACGTTAAGATAAGTAATGCGTATTTATCGTGCCCGGGTATCAGGTATTTAGTTTTATTGCCCTTTACGTAACGAAAATTTTCTTTTTTTTGAAATGCGTACAGGCACGCATTTTTTTTTATACGCATTTTTTTTTATTCGTGTCGCATAAATTTACGATCATTCTACATAACTCTCTCGTATGCGGTTTATAAATAATAATAATAATAATAATGATGATGATTATGGTAAAATATTAATAAAATTTTGCTGCGATTTGCGTGAAAAGGAAAAAAAAAAAAAAAACTAAATTTGTACGGTCCGTAAGTTAAGTACGTTATTTAAAAATGGAAAGTTGTGACGACTCCCCCCCCCCTCTTTTTCTCTCTCTCTCTCTCTTTCTCGTGCGAGTGAGGTTTTGCTATTCTGATATTCGATTAGTGTTTATGATATTGTTGAACGAATTTCACCGAATTCGGAGTTGGAAAAAAAAAAAAATTTATATTATTATTATTTTTTTTAATTTGTTTGTTTATTAACTTGTTGAGGTTGTTGTTGTTGTTTGTTGTTTGTTGTTTGTTGATGTCGACAGTCGTTCGTCGTCGTTCGTGGACGCGTTTTGTTTTTTTTTTTTTTTTTTTTTTTTTTTGTGATGTTTTTGTAGTTAACTAGTCGCGTTTTTTTTCTTTTCAACTCTTGTTGACGACTCGCGTGAAGATGATCCCTGAATTAACCGGATTTCACCTTCCCGTTTTCATGGCGGGATGTCCGATAACATCGCAAAAACCGATACAACAACGTCCGTGGCCTCCGATATACAGACAACATTCTTCCTCCAGTCGAAACGGTTATTTTTTCAGACATCACGAATCGCCGCAATGGTTGGATTATCCGAGGTACGGCGGTGGCGGGTTCGGCATCGGAGGTTACCGCGAAAAAGGACGGGAATATTATTATTTGGCACCGTTGTACAGGAACGCCATGCCTCCGCCGCCGCAACCCACGAAATTATCACCCCCGAGACGGATCATGTTGTTGAATCCGCATCAGGGTAACAACAACGTTAATAAAAAGTGTTACAACGAGTGTCCGTGTTGGCACCGTTCGAGGAGTTTGGAAGACGTTCGTTCGGAAATGAATTCCGAGTGGAGCGACGACGACGTTTCCGTGTTCAGGCACGACACGAAAAAATCAGAGGAAATGTTACCAAACGGATATGGACGCGGAGGACGTATGTTTCTCGATGATTTTGCTCATTTGGATTCGAGGAGGAGGAGGAGAGGAAGGCCGCAGGTATAATTATTATTATCATTATGAAGTTGAAAGGTCACGAAAATCTCGGCGGCGGTGAAATTTATTGACAAAAGAATTTGATACCTTTAATTAAATTAATTCGAATCTCTTTGACTGGCAGCACAACATTGACAAAACGTTTTTAAAAACGAACGTGAACGGAACCGGCGTTCTTTTTTTAAGGAACCTTTTCGAATGGGGATCACGATTTTTCGTTATTATAATAATAATAATGATGATGATGATAATTGTGAGAGGCTATTAAGCGGTTATAATAAATTACCATTACGAGTTTAAAAAAAATGTTTGACACACAATTTTTCTTTTACGTTCCACGCACTCGTCGACATGTATAACCCAATAATTCGAACGTCAATACCTCGAACAAAAAAAAAAAAAAAAACGTTCGTCGTCGACGGTTCGATGATTCGAAATCATTTTGCCTTTGCTCTAAATTTTGACGTCGCGTCCTTTGGTTGATTGCGAACGTGCGTCCTACATGCGTTTGTCATGTCGTATAAAATGAATAAAAATACAAATTTTCACTTTAATATGTTTATTAATATTGACTTGTGTGTGTGTGTGTGTGTCCGTTTGTTCGTTCGTTCGTTCGTTTGTTTGTTTGTTTGTTTGCAGGTGATTAACAACAAGAAAGTTAAAAATCAGTCACGTTTTTATTTCATTTTATTTTATTTTATTTTATCTTTGTAGCGTTTTGTATTTTCGGGTTTCGCGTCGCGGATTTCGTCGCGTTAATTAATTTTGCGTTTTTTTTTTTTTTTTTTTTTTTTTTTTTTGCAGACGATAATAATTTCAAAAAAATTGTTCACGTTTGCATTTTTCGGCGGTTTTTTTTTCATTTATCGTCTGATTTTATTCTCGCGGCGGGTAATGAGAGAGAGAGAGAGAGAGAGAGAGAGAGAGAGAAAGAGACGCGTGAAAATTTTCGAAAATGATTTATTATTTGTTTTAACTACCAGATCGATGATAATTTTCAAAATGGCTGTCGGTGATGTTTTTGCTTCAATTATTGCAATTTGAAATCGAATTGCGAGATTCGTTTATTATACAATTATTATTATTATTATTATTATTATTATTATTATTATTATTATTATTATTTTACCTGATGAAAAATTGATTTTTTTTAACGAGCGCTCACGTATTAAAGATTTTTATTATTATTTTTCTAATGGTGGCTCATAATAAAATGATGTCGAAGGTGGATTCGAGGGGGAGGGGTAGGGGGTTGGATTTATAAGTGGCGTACTCATGTGTGTGCGTGTGCGTGTTGCATTTGTGCTTTTAACGCGTCATAATTGTTAAATGAATAGGAAGGTTTTTGTTCGTCTTACCGTGACGTCAATACCGAATTTTAATTGATTCTTTTTTTTGTTTAAATTTAAACTAATTAATTTACGCGCTATTTTTTTTTTTTTTTTTTGATTGCGTACGAATGGGAATTGCGTATTTGTTTACTAATAATCCCTTTCAGGTACGACAAAAAAAAAAAATTTCACGGGTATATTTACGAACCGTAAAAAAAAAATTTACGATTGAAAATAATGACCGTGGTGTGTAAAATATGGCGGCGAATAATTTAAATTTGGTGTTGAAAAAAAAGGTAGGTAGGTAGGTAGGTCGGTCGGTGTTGTAAATAATCAATTTGGCACGTTTTGAAAAAAATCGAAAGAGAAAATGATATTTTCAGGTTCAACCTTAATCGATCGGGGTTAATCTTAACGTGATACGGTCGAAAGTCGTTAAACGATCGATGGAATCGAAGAAAAAAACTTTGATGTGATTCCGTCAGGTGCGAATTGAAAAATCATCATCGTGTCGTATCGTTTCGTTTTAGGCTAAGGTTAGGTATTTCATTCAAAGGAAAATTGAAAAGGAGAGAAAAGTAAAGAGACGTTAGAAAATAAATAAAAATGTCTGACGGATGAGAGAGAGAGAGAGAGAGAGATCGAATGGGTAGGAAAATGAATTGAAATTAAATTGAAATTGAATTGAAATTGAATTGAAATTGATGAAAAGAAGGCGATGGTGATGGTGGTGGATTTGAATTAAAAGGATCTCATTGATACGTAATCATAATTACTCTATGATTTCTTTCTTTCTCTCTCTCTCTCTCTCTTTTTCTTTTTTTGAATGTTACTCCGTGTCATTTTTCTCCTTATTCATTTGTGTTGTATACAAGTTCGTGGCAGTAGAAAAAAAAACCAAAGGAACGGTCGGTCGGTCGGTATATTATTTGAAAATAATAATAATAATAATAACTTTCCTTTTTCGAAATCAAAAATGAAATTGTTGTTATTATTATTATTATTATTTGAATACGCACGGTTAAGTAATTACGCCTACTTGAAAAAATTTTCGGTCAATTAAATGGAAAAAAAAAAACGAAAAAAACAAAAGGGGCGGCGGTAATTATCGAAAACCAATGTCAATAGTTCATTAAATTAATAATTTTTTTTTAGAAATTTTTTTCCCCCTTTCTCTCTCTTTCTATCTCTCTCTCTCACTCACTCTATCTATCTATCTATCTATCTATCGCTGTCTTTCTTCCTACATTGATACCTTTTTGTTTCCTTTTTGTTTCCTTTTTTTTTTTTTTTCTTTTATTAAATGTATTTTAAAAATTGTAAGGACGTTTAACTATCGACCGGTTTTATTTATTACTCTATGATTTCTTTAAAGAAAGATTTTTTATCACTCTATGATTTATTTAAATAAATCATAGAGTAATTAAAAAACGACTATTTTTTTTTTTAATATTATTTTTCTCGTTGGTTTGTTAAAAATTTTTGAAAATTTCAAATTGACGACGACAACGACGACAAGAAAACAACAAGGCGCTCTAACTCTAATTAAACGTATTATATCGATCGATATATCGATCGAGAATCGAACCTGTTTTTCTTTTTTCTTTTTATTTTATTTTATTTTATTTTTTTTGATGCGTATCAACGAGTTTGAAGATTCGAAAATATCTCAACAAAAAATAATATAACGTTTTTTTTTTTTTTTTTTTTTTTTTGATTCAGGTAGAATTTTTTGTTTATTTACTTTATGATTTTATCTTTTTCTCTCTCTCTCTCGAAAATGATGGCGGTTTTTTTTGTTTTGTTTTGTGCTCGTTTGTCTAAAGGATGAAATGGATTTTTTTTTTTTTTGTTGCCAACATTTTGATTGTAATCATTTGTAAAGTTCACAGAACTGGAGAAACCGTTCGGTTCGGTTCGGTTCGGTTCGTGTTTGTGTAACGGTTAAAAAGAAAAATGAATGAAAATATCGCGGCGGTGGTTGTGGCGGAAACGACGACGACAAGGTTTTCGATTGTAATTGAAAAAAAAAATTTTTTTTTTTTTTTTCGTATTTTCTACCGTTAAAATTAACGGTTATAAATAATAATAATATTGATAATAAATTCCATAAGGTAAATAAATAAATAAATAAATAAATAATCAATTCACTGTGAACGGAAAATGAAATTTTTACGGATTCTTTCCATTTTATAGTTTTCCATTGTTTTCTTTTTTTTTTCTATTACGTTTTAATGACCGCAACATAAAAATAATTAAATAATTACGGTCGGACACAGTAGCAAACCTAATAATTATTTTATTCGTTCGAGTTTTTAAAATTTCTAATTATTAAAAAATTAAATTTTTCAAATTTCTTTTTTTTTTTTTTCACGATCACGACGAGTACGGGGGAATTTGAATGGCGCCGCCCCCCGCCCCCCCCCCAACAAAAGAAAAAAATTAATTAAAAATGTACGGGGAAAAGGGACCAATATCGGTTATTAATTTTCCGGCGCACCATTTTTTTTTTTTTTTCACTAATACGAATTAATCGGTTTGGTTGGCGATTTTAGAAAAATAATAATAATAATAATAATGATAAAGATGATGATGATGATGATGATGATGATGATAATAATAATAATAATTCGGTTTCCGTTTTTTTATTGTAAAATTTTTCATCGTTGTATGCGCAAATGTTTAGGTTTAACGACCTCGTTGTCAAGATGTGATATTGTGTTTTTTTTTTTTTGCCTCCCTCCCCCTCTTCCCCTTTCCGTCATCTCTTTAGGTTTTTTTTGTTTTTGGCATAACGGTTTTGTTTTCGAGTTTTCTCCTGCCGCTTTTCATTTTCATTATTCCACATCCTCTGACTGATATTCGTTAACTCCGTCCCATAAATTACTCGAACCGAATTATTTTTAATTTTTTTTTTTTTTTTTTTTTTTGTTTTATTCGTAAACCGTGACGGCGCTCGAATTGTCGTGGCAGGAGATAAATTCTCGTATCACCGCCTTTTTAACCAATCGATTTATTTTATTTTTATTTTTTCTGTCATTTTTTGAGTTGAAATGCAAATTTTTGCCATTTTCCATCTCGATGGAACGAATGTCTACGATGTAGACCGAATCGATATTATTATTATTATTATCATTATTATCATTTACTTTTATTAAATTTTTTTTCGGTATTTTTCCTTCGCGACAAAACAATAGATCGAGAAAGATGTACGTACGGAAGAAGGAAAAAAAGAGAGAGAGAGAGAGAGAGAGAGAAAAATTGTTAACGATTCTTTCTTGAAAACATTGGAATTTAAAGTTTGGGGAAAGAGAGGAGGAAGGGGAGGAGGGGTGGAGGGGAGAAGGGTAAACAAGAAAGAATGCGGAAAGAGAAAATGATTACAATCGATTTTATTGATATTGCATCACCAAAAAAAAAAAAAAAAAAAAAAACACGAAATTCCCACGCTGAGAAAAAAAAAAAAAAACTATCAAGGCGCGCGCGAGATTAAAACAAAAACCTGTCAAAAAAAAAAAAAAAAAAAATTAACACGTTAAAAATTACTTCCGTCTTGTTAAATAGAAAAGAAAAGAAAAACCGCTTTGGAGTTTGAAGTAATAATTTTTTTTACGTAATAAAAAATTCGGCGTCGACTTGTTGACGATGATGATGATGATGATGATGGTGGTGGTGGTGGTGGTGGAAAGTCGTAGAAATTTGAAAAAAAAAACGGAAAAGAGAAAAGACGCACACACACGAACCAAACAAGGGAAATTAAATTGTCAAAGGAAAAAAATGGTAGCGTGAAAAGGAAAAGACGAAGAAAGAAACGGAAGGAAGATGATTAAAAGGAACCGGAAGGAAGTCGAGATAACCGACTACCGAATTTTATTTATTAATTTTTTTTTCTGTCTCAAACGAAAAAGGAAAAGGTCGTTAGGTTTGGGGAAAAAAAAAGTGATGACGTCGTGATGATAGTGATGATAATGATGATAATGTATATCGAGGTCAATTAGATGATTTGCAAGCGGAGGACTCAACCAACACCGGAATAAATTTCGAATCAAAATGATGACGATGATTATGATGATCAAGATGGCGTCGTGGTATAATATAAAACATTTTTTTTTTTATCGACTTCTACTACAATACTAAATTTGGTCAAACGAATAAATTACTATAATAATAATTAATTATTATTATTATTTACATTTATTAAAAGAAGTTTAGAAAGTGGTTGAAAACGGAAAAGAAGAAGAAGAGGAGAGGGAAAGGGAGAGGGAGAGAGAAAAAATGTCCTTTTGAGACGAAAGGATTTTTTTTTCTAAACGTCTTTAGGAGAGACCTAGTTTACGAAGCTAAAACGGTTACATTTTAGCATTTTCATCTTGACACGCGCGCGTAAAGGAAATTAATAATAATAATAATAATAATGATGATGATGATGATGATGATAATAAAATGGCAGCGGTTATTACGATTTTTAATTTATTTATTTAATTAATTTTTTTTTTTTTTTTTTTTTTTTTTGGAATTTCGTCCGCGTCAGGTTTCCTTTTTATTATTATTATTATTACTATTATAAATTTCCGAGAAATTTTTTTTTTTAGGTTTTCTAACAAAATTATATGTAAAATGTCTTCTTCCGTTGTACCTTAAATGTTGTTGTACAAAATGATAAAAATTAATCGTTCGTCAACGGTTATAAATTTACACGCGGATATTATCGAGTTTTGATTAATTTATAGTTTTTTTTTTTTTTTATAAAAAGATTTACGTTGCCGTGTGTTTTTATATGAAGTCGCGTTCATTTTATCGTTTTTATTTTTCGAAAAGCGTAGGATTACTTTTCTCGGAAAAAAAAAAAGTTACGGGAAACGATTCGGCAGACGACGGTGATTCCGGTGATTCCGGTGATTCCGGTCACATGACAAAAAAAAAATTTTACTCTCTTTCTCTTACCCCTTACTTCCTCGCGTGCATCTTTTTCCCCTCCCCTCCTCTCCCCTTCTCCTCCTTCCCCACTCCTTCGTAAACGCTTATTTATGCTTTGTATGTTTTTCATAATTATTAACGAGGTAAAAAAAAATCGAATTAGGAAGTTTAAAAATTATTATTATTATTATTATTTTAATAACGTGTAATTTTATTAAATATTTATAATTTCTATTTTTGTAACGTTTAACGAAATGAAATTTAATAATTTAAATAATTTATTTTTTATTTACGTACGAGGAAAAAAAAAACGAAAAAAGAGAGATGGAAAACGTGGGGGGTGGTGCGGGGTAGCGGGTCGTTAATCTTCTTCACGATTTTTAAAGTGCGATGCTTGTTTCGTTCAGACGTTTAGATTTGTCCAGGTTTTTCCAGGATTCCAAGAATCGATTGATTCGCATTGATTTTTCCAGGTTGTCGCTGTGTGTATACGCTATCGTACCTGAAAATTTCAAGAGTTTTCTTTTTAGGTATTGTAATGCTATCGCCGTCAAACGTTTGGGAACACAAAATGATTTCTATCTTTTAAAAATTCAATTCGAAAAAAAAAAAAAAATAGAGTAATAATTAATTTATCATTATTATCATTATCATTATTATTATTATTATTGTTGTTGTTGTTGTTGTTGTTGTTGTTGTTGTTGTTGTTTACCGTTTTAAACGCATTATCTAATTCTTTTCTTTCTTTCCTTCTTTCATTCTTTCGACAATGCTTTAATTAACACAAGGCGGATAAAGAATCGATTATGTATTAAAATGTTGTTTTTGTTGTTGTTGTTGTTTGTTGTTGTTTGTTGCCCTCGCATTGTATCGATGCAAAAAAAAAAAAAAAAAATTGCATTTAAGATAATATTCCTTTGGTATAATTATCTACTTTCACTTTTATATGAGTATAAATACAACAACCCGTTAGCGGTTATCTGTAATAATAAAGCGAGAAAAATGAAACATAATTTGAATATTGTCTAAGCCTAGCCTACACATTCTTCGTTTTTGAAATTCACTCGGTCGTGACGAGTGAAAAACAAAAAAAAACAGCATATGGGAGGGGGGTGTGGAGGGGTACGCAAAAATGTTTGTTTTAATGTTTTCATCTTTTGTTTCCGTTAAAGAGTAAGAGGTTAAAGGTTAAGAGAATAATAAAGGAATGCGTTGATGATGAACCACGAGTAGGAAGTTGGAGAGTTACCGGGGGACCCGAGTAGTCGTGATAATAAACTGGAGCAAGTTCCGAGAGGAAACTCGGAAATAAATAAAAAACAATAATGATAATGATGATGATGATGATAACCCCGTTCGCGCTTTACTTCCTTGTGCAACATTCGATTCCATGACGTGGTACTTTTATTTATTTTGTGTGTAAAATTTAAATTCGGTAGTTGTTTGAACTACTTCGCGCCTTTTTTTTTTTTACCCACTCACTACTTCCGGTACATCATTCCGGAAGCTGTTACGTAATGTTGTCGTTGTTGTTGTTGTACGTAATGTTACGATGTTGTTATTGGTGCGAACATGAAGTGTGAACGCGATGAAATTGATTTTTTGTTTTTTTCCGTACCTATGACGTCACTTTCTAATGTTTCTTTTTTTCTTTGCAGTCGGAACCTCAAGATTCGGAAAATGGATCAGGTCGTCCGAGATTCGTTGCCGTCACAACTCTCGAAGATGTTCAAGCCGTTCGTTGCGCTGAATTTCATCCTTCTGGAAAAGTTTACGCCATCGGATCAAATTCGAAAACGTTGAGGATTTGCGCGTATCCGAAATTAACGGACCTTAGGTAATTATTATTATGATTATCATCATTATCGTCATCGTCATCGTTATTATTAAAATTAATCCTTGCGAAAAGCGTACGGAAAAGCCTAGTTTTTTTTTTTAATTTCGGTCACGATGACATGTTTTTTTTTTTTTTTTTTTTTTTTCAAACTTTCTCTTTTGAATATGACAATCGTTACGCGTTTCCTGTTTTTTTCCTTTTTCCTTCTTCCTTTTTCCGACGAACGGGAACGTCAGGTGTTTGTCTGTCTGTCTGTCGGTCGAGCAAGAAAACTCGTCGCGAAAAAATTAATTAAAAACGTTTGCCCGACCGAGTGACATTTGAGATGGAGAAAGAGAAAAAAAACGGATGTTTCTCTCTCTCTCTCTTTCAAACGACTTTTTTTTATATATTGAAAAGGTGACAAAAGGTGATCCTCCTCCTTTGCAAAAAGAACTTCCGGTATTTCAGTAAACCTTATTTCAGGTTTTTTTTTTTTTTTTTTTTTTTTTACAAAACTAATTAAAAGTTCGTCGTGGTCGAAGAAAAATGAAAGACGTAGCAGGTGAAAAAAAGTTGAGATCTTGAAAGAAAAGAAAAACGTAAGAGTCAGTATCACGATTTCTTTTCTCTCTCTCTCTCTCTTCTTCTTCTTGATCCCCTCTTCTCCCTCTCTCCTTCCCTTCCCCCCTACTTCTCTCGCTTTCGCCGGTTTCGAGAAAAAAGTTTGAAATACGTCACGTTTTTAAATTGACTTGAGTCAAAGGTCGTGCGAATGTTGATATTGTTAACGATAATAATAATAATAATAATAATAATAATAATAATAATAATAATAATAATAATAATGATGATGATGATGATGATGATGATGATGATGATGAACGTGAAAGAGAAATCAACGTTTTCGATTGATTGGTGGTCGTGGTTGGTGTTGGCGATGGTCACGGCGGTCGATACTCTTCAATCTTTTTTTTTTTTTATTTATTTCGCTGCATTTTTGTAATTTTTTTTTTTTTTTCTACGGCCAAGTTCAATCAACTGTCACGACACGACCAACATAGAAAAACGTTGGAAAAAGAAAAATGGCCGCTCCTGGAATTTGTTTTCGTTGTTTTCTTTATTTTTATTAATATTATTATTATTCGTCATCGCCCTTTGTTGTTCGCGGTCACTCTTCATCACCATCATCATCATCATCATCATTAATTTTTATTAATAAAAATAAAACGGAGGTGAAGTTTTTTTTTAGTGCGGTTTTAAATGGAAAAAACCGCGGATTCAACGTATTTTACAAAAAAATTTTTTTTTTTTTTTTTTTTTTGATGCGGTTCAAAAAGGATTTTTTTTTTTTTTTTTTTTTGACTTTCTTGATTAATATTCATTTTAAAAACATTAATTAATGTAACGTTTCTGCCACGACTTTACGCACGCACACGCACACACGCACAAACATCCACGCACGAGTGAAAGTTTTAACGAGGAGTTAAACAAAAAAAATGAAAAATGAAAAATAAAAGCGAATAATTTTATTTCTCCATTTTGACTTATATTATCATTATCATTATTATTATTATTAATATTATTGTTGTTGTTGTTGTTGTAGTAATAGTAGCATTTTTAGAAAGCTGGTCGTGGAAATCTATTTCGTATATGTAGGACAATCGTTTGTCGCAGTTTGTTAACAGGTTGTGTTGGGAAAACGCGGCGTAACAGAATCGTCATTACCACATCCTTAATTTGTTTTTTTTTTTTTTTCCTTTGAATGATTATTTTCCTTCCTTTTTTTTTTTAATTTCCTTTTACTCCGTCAAATTCTTTTTCCTTTTACTCCGTCAAATTCTTTTCTCGAAAAAAAATGCGACAATCACGTACACACGGTGACTTTACTTCCTTTTCCGTTTTTATTTTTTGTACTACTCTACGATCACGCGCAGTTTTAATTATAGATTGAATTATCTGGAGTTGGCGCTAAAAAATTGGAGTTAGCCTCGAGATTTATTGTTTTTTGTTCCCAAAAAGTATTGTTATTATTATTATTATTATTATTATTATTATTATTATTATTATTACACGTTTGGAAGAACGTGGTTTTATCGACGAACGCCCGAAGCGTTTTTTAGACACCTGTTATATGACATTCTCTGCCACTTCCGAACGCGTTCATGTTTCTTCCCTCGGGGAAAAAAGTAAAAAGATACGTTATTGTTTAGAAAATTGATTGATGAATGTGTGAAATCGTCCTACATGTTTTCCCCCTCCCTCCTCCTCACCTTCCCTTTCCTTTCCTTTTTTTATCCTTTTTCCTCGGGTTTCCTTTGACTGTTGTTGTCTCGTCGAATTTTTTTCGTTCATTCATTGTGTTTTTTTCGTTTGTTTGTTTAGAGAGGAACACTCGACGTATCAACCGGCCGTTTTATTCAAGCGAACGCGTCATCATAAGGGTTCGATATACTGCATGGCGTGGACTCCGATAGGAGATCTCATGGCAACGGGAAGCAACGACAAAACGGTCAAACTCATGAAATTCAATCCGGAAACGTCGAATCTCGAGGGTCAAGAAATCGAATTGTCCATGCACGATGGAACGGTGAGAGATTTGTGCTTTCTGGAAGACACGTCGAACAAATCGAGTTTGCTCATAAGCGGCGGAGCGGGAGATTGTAAAATTTACGTCACTGATTGTGCCACGGGAAGTCCGTACCAAGCTCTCGCGGGTCACGGAGGACACGTATTATCATTGTACAACTGGGGCGGAGCCATGTTCGTATCCGGAAGTCAAGATAAAACGGTTCGATTTTGGGATTTGAGAGTACGCGGATGCGTTAACATGGTTACCCCGGTCACGGCTCCCGGAAACAGGGTAAAAAAAAAAATTTTTTTAACGTCAAGGACGCATTTCCGGCGTTCGTTGTTTTGATGCAGAAAAAAATCGACAACCGGAAAATTAATTAATTTTTGATTTTACTACGATTTCAGGGCTCACCTGTTGCTGCCGTTTGCGTCGATCCATCCGGACGACTCCTGGTATCCGGACACGAAGATTCCTCGTGCGTTTTGTACGACATTCGAGGGGGGAGAAACGTTCAATGTTTCAAACCTCATTCGTCAGACATAAGATCGATAAGGTTTTCACCGAGTGCTTATTACCTATTGACCGGCGGATACGATAACAAACTCGTCTTGACGGATTTACAAGGTTGTTGTTATTATTATTATTATTACTGTTAACGTCGTGACAATAATGATGAATGATGACGTCATTAATCGGTTTGTTTTTTGTCTCCAGGGGATTTGACGTTGCCGCTTCCCAGTGTTGTAGTCGCTCATCACCAAGACAAAGTTATCTCCGGAAGGTGGCATCCGACAGAATTTTCATTTTTGAGCACGAGCGCCGACAAGACGTGCACTCTGTGGGCTTTACCCCCCATTTGAAACTACCGTAAAACACCGAGCGTTAGGATTTCGCGAATATGAAATAATGTTTTCTCTCTCTCTCCCCTCACGTAAGCTCTCTTAAATTTGTAAATATTATTATTATCATCATCATCATCATCACCGCACCGAATTCTCGGGCTATCGTACTCATCGTCATAGAATTTTCCAAAACCTCAAAAAATAATTTTAAAAAGAAAAGAGCATCGTAATATCATAATCACCATCTAGTCAGAAATTTCTAGAAATAATTTTCTTATTATCGGAAAAGTGTCATCGCCACTAACCGAACGAACGCTTTTACCGCTTTTCGGCAATAAAATATAAATGAAAGACGAAGAATTGGGGGAAATCGTTAGATAGAGCATAAAAAAGAGAAAAAGGTCGGAAAAACCGGGAGGGAAAAAAAAACGGGAACGTGTTCGTATTTATATACATAAATTTGTAAATTTTTTCGTTAGGTTGTCACACGGATCGAACGCCAGAACGCATCGAACGTCGTCGCGCGCGGAATCCAAAAGTTTTTCTATTTTATTTTTTATGTTTCGCTTTCGGCGGTTATTATCACAAAAAAAAAATGAGGAAGAGGGAGGCAGGGGAGTAGTAAATACATACGAAAAAAATTTATAAAACGTAAGTAATATATTTTTTCTAAAAAAAAAAAAAAAAAAAACGGAAAAGAAATATATATATATATATATTTATACTTTAGTTGATATTATTATTATTATTAACAATTTCAAAAAGCTTATTATGATTAATCGAAAAAAACCAGTATTTTATCAAACAAAAGCGATAACAATAATAATATTATTTATATATATATATATATATATATATATATATATATATATATATATATGAAATGTTTATTGAGTTTTTACTCTAATTATTATTATTATTATTTTTTTTACTAATATTATTATTATTATTGTATTGTTAAAATGCGCGCGCTCGGGAGCTTTGCATAAAAAAAAAAAAAAAAAAATTACGACGACGACGACATTTTCGATTCGAAAAAAAAAAGTAGAAAAAAATTTAAATCGAATCGATATTTGTGGGAAATTGTATTATTATTATTATTATTATTATTATTATTATTATTATTATTATTATTATTATTATCGTGATTGAATTGTTATATGATTCGATTCGTACGCGTGTTAAATATTGTTTATTATCGATGGATCGATGGATCGATCTATGACTCATTAATTAATTTTTTTTTTTTATTGAAAATTGTGATATACCCTACGTGCTTGCATATACATATATATATATATATATATATATATATATATATATATATGTATATATATATATATATATATATATATATATATATATATATATATACTCATAAATGAATGATAATAATAATGATGATGAAAAAAACGAGATATAAAAATCAATATTTGAATATTATTATTTTTATTTTTTTTCGTATTTTATTTTTAAAAGTTTTTTTATTTATTTTTAAACCTCGTTTTTTTTTTTTTAAAAAAAATATTTTAAATATCGAAACAAAACGCTAATATGAAAACTTTTATTATTATTAATATTATTAAAAGTTTGAATTAATTAATAATTTTCTATTATTATTATTATTATTATTATTATTATTATTATTTTGAATATATGTATATATATATATATATATATATATATATATAAAGTTACGGTATTAAGAAGAAAAAAAAGAAAAGTTCTATCATTTTTGTATGTAATGTTTATTTTTATTTT